GAGAGCCAGAAATCTTGCTTGTTTGTAGGTGACCAAATACTTATTTTACCGAGGAATTTACCAATTAATTCTTTAAAAATCCTACAATGTGATTTTCTGGATTTTATTTTCTCATTTTGTCTCTCATAGTTGAGGTATACCTATGATGAAAATTACAGGCCTCTCTCATCTTTTTAAGTGGGAGAACTTGCACAATTGGTGGCTGACTAAATACTTATTTGCCCCACTGTACATGCATGTTGTTCAAAATATCAAAAGTTCAAAATTAATAATTTAGTTAATATTTTATGTATACATTTTTTAATTATATCTGTGTAGTTATACAGTAAATAATTTAACATTTGAAATATTGGTTTCTATTATTATTTTTTGAATAGTGAAGAGTCATGTAATTCCCTACACAAAAAAATGGTGGATCAAATAATGGATGTAGAGCACTATAGTGTAGGTGTGTGGAGATAAAGGAGAATTAATGTGCTGCGATAGAACTACATAGAAAGCTGGAACAAAGCTACAGAGAATGTGGCAAGAGAAAGAACGATTTTTACACCAAAAAGGCCTTGTAGAAATTGTCAAAACCACAACCTATATCTTCTACAGCACATTTACATGCATGTTGTTCAAAATATCAAAAGTTCAAAATTAATAATTTAGTTAATATTTTATGTATACATTTTTTTATTATATCTGTATAGTTATACAGTAAATAATTTAACATTTGAAATATTGGTTTCTATTATTATTTTTTGAATAGTGAAGAGTCATGTAATTCCCTACACAAAAAAATGGTGGATCAAATAAAGTCCTACTGACGAGTTTTGAGTTTTCTGTGCAGCATGGTGCTGCATATTTTAATGTCCATTTCTTTCAGCATCTAATTTTCTTTTCCAATCTCTTTATATGAATACAATGTATGTCAGAGTGTAAAACCAAGTTACATTCACTCACCCTTTGTCTCTTTGTCTCTCTATTTCTCCTCAGGTGGTGTGAAGTTTGAGAGCTATTCCACAAACAGACCACTCCCACCTTACCATGCCTTTGTCCTTCAGTTCATCTCGCCTTTTCCCCTTCTCCTTAATTTCTTTGATCCTCCCCGTCCTCCTCCTGTCTTTCTCCATCCCTTCTCAAGCTGACTCCCAAGATGTAGCCCAGTCTACCTCCAACTGTTCTTATAATGTTGTGTGTGCAGAGGGGGTCCTTTTACCAGTGTGGAATCCCCAGAATCCCTCAGTTGGTGACAAAGTGGCCCGTGCTATTGTGTACCTAGTGGCACTAGTCTACATGTTCTTAGGTATGTCAATAATTGCTGACCGCTTCATGACTGCCATCGAAGTTATAACTTCTCAAGAAAAGGAGATCACTACAAAGAGACCCAATGGTGAAACGGTCACCACGACAGTTCGCATATGGAATGAGACTGTCTCCAATCTGACCCTCATGGCTCTGGGTTCCTCAGCGCCTGAGATTTTGCTTTCAGTCATTGAGGTCTGTGGGCACAATTTTGAGGCTGGTACTCTTGGTCCCAACACCATCGTGGGAAGTGCCGCCTTCAACATGTTTGTGATCATTAGCATCTGTGTCTATGTGGTACCTGAAGGTGAACGACGGAAGGTCAAACATCTTCGGGTGTTTTTTGTGACTGCGGCGTGGAGCATATTTGCCTACATCTGGCTCTATCTTATCCTCTCGGTGTTCTCGCCTGGTGAGGTGGAAGTGTGGGAAGCAGTGCTGACATTCCTCTTCTTCCCTCTCTGCGTGGTCCAGGCCTGGATTGCTGATCGACGATTGCTCTTTTACAAGTATGCTCACAAACGGTACCGAACTGATAAGGGCCGTGGAATTATTGTGTCCGAGGGCGGTGAGGAGGTTGGGAAGGAGGTGGGATTCACAAAGATGGACATGCTGGAAATTGATGGAATCACAACACATCTGGATGGAATGTTGGGAGGGGAAAGTGGGCTTGGTGAACGTGATCAAGAGGAGGGGGCCAGGAGAGAAATGGCCAAAACTCTGAAAGAACTGAAGCAAAGACATCCTGACAAAGACATGGAGCAGCTCATAGAGATGGCCAACTATCAGGTATAAAAAATAATTACATTTTTAACACATTTAGTTTTTAAATGTAATTACTTAATAATTTATAACATTTATATGATTTACTTTCTAAATTTTTGAATTATATAAAAAATGTATTGTTATAAATAATGTATTATTTTAAATATTATGGGTTTCTAACTTTCTCTTGAATGTTAAGGAGTGATGATATACTTAATGCTGATCAAATCAGACCTGTGGGCTGTTTTCTCATTTGTGACTTACTAGAACTGACTGATCAAGGGAGTTTTCTGTGCAGCATGGGACATCATTTTAAAAATTATATTAAATTAAAACTCTCTGTTCTCGTTGTCTTAGGCTTTAAGTTTTCACAAAACATGCATGAAAACATTTGCATTAAAACTCCATTCAACTCTATAGATGTTACCTCAAGTTCCATTTGTTGCAGACCAGTTCATTTAAACCTGCTTTGTAAGAAAGAGCGGGGCACAACCTAACACTTTCTGACTTTCTCAGTTTGTGTAAATACACTTGGGGTTCAGAGTATTTCTTTCTTCCTCTTCTTTTTTCACATTAATTTCACAAGTCTAGTACAAATATGTGGTCTTGTTTCATGAATACAGTGTACCTTTTTCTTTATTTACCCCAAAATATGAAATATGAAAATGAAATATGAAAACATGCCCCATAGGCAGGGCACTTTGTAACATGTGAGGAGCACATTGTAACAACCCTATAACAGATAAAACATTTAACTGATCTATTAAAAAAAATTCAATAAAATACAATGATTAACTTTTTAATATAAAATAATTGCACTTTTTAATAATTAAAATATACAAATTTTGGAGTTTGACAGTAAATAGAAAACAAAACACAACTATACACTATAGAAACAATGTGGGCAGATTTAGAAACACATCCAGACATTCAGAAAATCACAGAAGTGAACACAACACACCCCTCCCTCCACACACAGCTCTCAGAACATGAAACAAATAAACGAGCCAGTAAGAATGCTTTAAATTTCACGTGTTTATCATGGTGTCTCAACAGAATTCATAAAATTGTTTATGCTATTATTACATTGCTAACATCATTGAATAACATTATTATTATTATTATTATTATTATTAATCCCAATATTATTGAGATTTAAATTAAGTCTTCTACTAGTTAGATAAGCATTAAAGAACTATCAAACCTGTTAAATAACAGATTGGAGATTAAAATAATAGCAGTTTTGTCATGCTAGCATGTGTGGAAACTTTTAAACCGTGTGTTATGTGTGTTACAACTAACCCTGCGTTAGGTTATGCCCCCCTCTCCCCTGCTCTCCCAGTTTAGCATGCAGAGACAATTGTAAGTTGATTTCCCCCAAAAATATAAAAACTGTCTCTCCGCTGTTTTAAACATTGTTTGTTATGTTATGTTTGAGTATAGTATATGTACATGCACTTTAAAAGTTAGATTTCAGCCAGACTTTAACAAATGTAATGTTTTAAATGTCGTGTAAATGTTTTAGTTCAAAATGAAATCACACCAGTACATTTTGTTGTAAATTTGTACTAACATACTGTACTTAAATAATGAGGTTGTAGCATTATCAGAAGAATCAGAATCAGATTGAGTTTTTATTGCCAGGTATGTTTACACATACGAGGAATTTGTTTTCATGACAGAAGCTCCACAGTGTAACAGAATGACAGTGACAGAACAAAAACACAGATAATAAAAAATAGAAAAATAGAACAAGTAAATAAGGAATAAAAATATACAAATCGACAATTGTATGTACAGGTATATAACAATAGACAGTTGTATGTACAGGTATATTATGTGCAAATTGAAATGTAGACTGAGTGTGTGTGTTAGATAAATAAGTGTATGAGTGAATAAATAGTGTTCCACAGTTATTGTCAAGTGTTCATGAGATGGATGGCCTGAGGGAAGAAACTGTTCCTGTGTCTGGTCGTTCTGGTGCCCAGAGCTCTGTAGCGTCGACCAGATGGCAACAGTTCAAAGAGGGAGTGTGCTGGATTAGTTTATTAATTTTAATAGGGAATAGGATACTTTTAAACTTATTGTCTGATCTTGACTGATGGAAATTATGGAACAGATTTTTGTCTGTTTATTTAATGAGAACAAGAAAGATCTTTGATCTTTCTAAATGTTTATTCATGCACAACTCCAGGTGGACTACCACACAGAAGATGGCACAGCCAATGCCGGTTCTGACTATGAATTTGCTGAGGGCACACTCGTCTTCAAACCTGGCGAGAATATTAAAGAGATCACCGTCGGCATTATTGATGATGACATCTTTGAGGAAGATGAATACTTCTATGTGCGCCTGAACAATCCCCGTATAGTCGGGTGGGCTGATGGACATCCTATTACTTTGGAGACTGGAGCACCTGCTCCAAGCGCAGCCCTTGGTGAGGCCCACACAGCGACTGTGACAATCTACGATGACGACCACGCAGGAATTTTCACATTCGAAAGCGAATCGGTGCGAGTTAGTGAAAGCATCGGCATCATGCAGGTTAAGGTCCTGAGGACATCAGGAGCACGTGGTCTGGTGGCGGTACCGTACCATACAGTGGATGCGACAGCTTGCGGAGGGGAAGACTTTGAGGAAGTGTCTGGAAAACTGGAGTTCCAGAATGACGAGACAATGTAAGAGGTTTCTGTCAGCTAATGCCTTTTTATGTGTGAGAATGTGTGTATCTGTGTTCTGCTGCCTTTATTTAGCTCTTTCTTTCCAAGGATTGTCCTGCTTGAGTGAACCTTCACAGTGAAAATGCTTTTAGACCTGCAGTAAAGTTATTAGATTTTGTGTGTTTGGATTTCTCCGGTATGTCAGACAGCTTATTTCACGGCAAAGGAAAGGGCTAAGAATTTAATTTGAAAGAACACAGTGTCACAAAAATATGAATACATTGTGATTTTGTTTTTCATTTACATTTTAGGGACTTAATGTCAAGAACATTCCACATATTTGTTGCCAATGTGGTAAAGACGAGCAGATGTTTTCTTTATATACGAATGGTACTGTATGTCTTTATCCAGTTTCACACGCACACTGCATCTTTGTCACATGAGTGGCAGCCATATTGACGAGTTACAGCACTCTCACCTATGCGTGCTGTGAACCCGCTGTTGCAGTTATATTTACGCGCAACAGTGAAATGAAACAGGCCTTTCGTAATGTTTGTGTGTACAGATGTGCTATACAGTGCATTAATTATAAGACTGAAGAAGTAAATTTTTTTGTAGTATGTTGGGGATATGTACAGTGGGTTTGGCCGTTTGATATGCCTCAGGCTTGTGAGGTGTAAACTCAAAAAAAAAAGTAGTCCTGCTGTTTAACCAGCAAATTACCATAAATGACTAGCTAGAAACCACTTATCTGGATTTTCCAACAGCTGGGTTTCACTCTCCTCCCTTGTCCATTCTCATTCTTTCCCATTTATTTCCATATTTCTCTACATTTTTGTGAACAAATGGGCTCTTTGAGAGCAAAATACTAATGCTTTTACTACTGTTATTTAATCTAAACCTCTTCAGTTTACTCCCCTTTCTCAGTTCTGTCTTCCAGCCTTCAATTCATCTATCATCACTCACTTAATCAATCTCTCTGAATGTATCACCTTTCATGCATTGTATATCGCTCCACTCCAACCTAATATAAAATATAAATATGTATTAGTGTCTGTGTGTGTGTGAGAGAGAGGTTCAGCTAGGTTAATATTCGTATAGCCCCAGTGGAACTCTGTAGTGCCCTGAGCTTGACACCGGCATAGACACCAGTGGACGAGTGAAGAGATGGTAACACATAATAAATGAAATGCAGACAGGGGTCAGCATTGAGGACACGGATGAGATAAAGACAGACAAGGAGGTCTGGAGGATTAGTTTGTGTGTGACTGAATGTGTCTTTGCCAGTTACCTTCATGCTACGATATACTGAGGGATGTACCTTGATGTTATTCCATCGCTTTGACACTGATTTATTGCTCATATTTCATGAAGAGTTTATGCGGTGCAGAGAAGTGCTCTCACATATTTGTACTCGCATATGAACTGTCTCACCATCTTGTCTCTTTGTATTCCTATCATTTTACGCATAATCTGTCTTTTTTCTAAGATTTTCTTTTTTCTAGTTAAGATTTTCTAAATCAACCCCTCTATTCTCCTTGTCATATCAAATGCTATTTCTTGCCTCTCTCTTGTGACATGGGGTTCTGCATTAGGCCTTTCTCTGTGACCCAGAATCTACTGTGAGTTCTAGATATGCTTGACTGCAGCTTGAAATCTCTGTGAGTGCTAGTCTCTGAGTATGTGTGTACAAAGTAAAAGTAGATCACTAACCCATGAGCAGTGTTTCTGAATAGGCAGATTCCTCTTGTGTCAGACTCAAAAATCTGCTCACCATTTACACTTTCTTCCAATACTGTAAACTACAGGTACTCAAAATACAAGAAGCAAATTAGATTAAAAGATCAAATGAATTTTAAAGGGATAGTTCACTTAGAAATGGAAATTATGTCATATTCACTTACTGCCATGTTGTGCCAAACCTGTATGACTTTCGGGAACATAAAAGATGTTTGGCAGAATGTTCACACCGCTGTTTTACACACAATGATGTAATGTATGAAATGGTGCAATGCTGACCAGGGCTTATCAAGCTCCAAGCACCATTCAAGTCAAGTCTATTTGACTTGTGCACTATATTGCAAGTAGTTTAAAGTCATATGGTAGCTTTGTGTGAGGTAAATAACAATTCAATTATATTTGACATTCCTCTTCATTGTACCTCTATGCCTAGTTTGAAACATAGCAATCAGTTATGAGATGCATTCTGAATCATGGATATCAAATTTAGCTTTGTTTGTTGATACCAAATACTTTAATTTACAAAATTAATTTTTAATTTTTTAAACAACTAAATCTCAGATTTCATGTGATTCTTTTGGAGAGTAACTCACAGTTTTCAACATCTACTCTGAGATGTCTTTGTATTTTCTTGTATTATTTGCTCTGTTCCTCCTGTGATCTGGGTTTTACATGGATGTGGCCTTGGGCTTGCCAGAGCAAACTCTAATCGTAACTTTTGGTTTTCAGGGAAAGACAGAAGAGAAAAACAATCCCAACTCACTCCCAATGTCTGTCTCTCAGTGTCAGGTCACGTATATCTGGAGCTCTGAGTCTGTCTGTGTGTGTATGTGTGTGTGTGAAAGAGAGAGTAGCATCACATGTGTTTTTAATTTGACTGCTTTATGGCAAGACATCATAGAAAATATAATAATATAACAATAATAAACACTAATTGTTAAAAACAAAACAATGTCATAGATATTGCAAAACTAATAAAAATGTATGATAATGTGAATTATACAGGAGCTGTGTAATTGTTAATATGACTTTCTGCCTCTCATTATGTGTGTGGATGTTAATTTTGTGGCATCTCTAACTTTTATGCTGCAACAGAGCCTTATTATCAGTGTGCCTGCCATGTCACTAATTTTACCATGCATGTACCCTGCCCTAACCTCTTTCTACTACCGGCTATCTACATGTAAAACCACATTACTTAAAAATACAGAGGTCTGCTGTATTTCTTCCAGTTGTGCTCTGAAGATAGTTGGGATTAAGATGCAGGAGCTATAATTTACTTAACTTGAAAGAAAATTTTGTTTGTAATTTAGGAACCTTCCAGACTGGACTGCATAACATAATATGTGAGCATGAGTGTGTGCATGATTGATATAGCCAGAAAAACAGCAAAATGGTTTGACTTATGAAAAACATCTGTCATAAGCTACTTGAATTTTGCAGAGTAATTCCTCTTCACTTCAAGGTGCAATGTAAGATAAGCTATGTACTGCAGATAGAGCCACATTGTCCTTTACTGTTATGGTTATGCATCTATAATCTTTAAAGGGATAGTTCACTCAAAAAGGAAACAAAAAATACAGTTTTTTAGGGGTTAACTTCTTTGAGTTTTTCTATCTTGGATTCATGATAAGCATATTCTTTCTTTGTAAATTTGTAAAAAAAAAAAAGATTTCTGCAAAAGGTTGGTTTGCTCAGATTTTTATGCAACTTTGTGTTTCTATATCAGCAGTTGACTGTTTCTGCCATGCAAAAGTGGTTTAAACAGTAACTCCAGACTAAATAGCTCCAAGCTAAGCTTTATCCTGATGATTTTCTCTCATTTTCTGCATTTTTGAGCAAGGCTTTAATAATATGAATAAATTATGGTGCAGTAGGTGGATTATTGTTTTTTACTTGCTGTTTCTTATCACACTGTTGTGTTTTATATTTTAAAGTAAGTCCATGAGCATAAGTTGGGCTTCATACTTTGATTACTTGGATAGTGTATGGCATAGCAATGAGATGAACAGGTATTGTCGCAGTGCGCTGCTTACTACATTTAGCTTTAAGCATCTGCGTGTCAGATATTGTAATCTACTCATTTGTTCTGGGCCTTTTCATTGAAATACCTCAAGCATGCCAAGGCCCTGGGCAATTGGCTACATCACCTATAGCCTGGGCTGCATGCATCACACACACACACACACACATACACACACACACTATGCAGCCCTTTAATCACAGGGCAGATATCCAGGCAGAGGGAGACTGCAGGCCTGTTGTCCCAGCCATGATTAGAGCCTTCATGGCCGCCTCATTGCTCTCTCAGTCCCCTGGAGCCTCTACAGAGGACTAAGACCTTCTCCCCAGCTCAGCATCTCTTATTATGCATGACACCAGCACACATGCCAGTAAAGTCCTCGCTGCATTAAGTTTATGAGTGAAACTGGCATACAATGCACTAAAACTTTGATTGGATGGTATTGAAATTCATCTAAATTGAAGTGCATAGTGATTTGATCCATTGTGTACTTTTAAGTGATGGAGACAAGACGACCACATCCGTTGCCATAGCGATGATTCCTGTGCCAATTTGTTAAAGTAAATGCAAAAACTAATTTGGTTTATGTTGAGATGGCAACACAGAAAATAAATAACAAAGAGTGAAAAATTTAAGGGGGTCTGAATACTTTCCGTACCCACTGTATAGGCCAATAATGGTGAGTGTACTTGCAATATGAAAAGAAGTTGAAAGAGCTCTTTTTTCTTCTGACTGTGTCTTTCATCCCTGTTTAGTCTACATTTAAGTTAACACAAAGACATGTTTTTAAAAACAATAGACTTTCATTGTATGATCAATTTTAAAGAAATTAATCATTTTATTTAGCAAAAACATAAAAAATTATCAGAAGTGACAGTAAAGGCTTTTATAAAGCTGATAAAGCCACAAAAATATTAAGATGCACATTTGATTTCAGCACTGATAATAAGAAAATTTATTGAGCACCAAATCAGCATATTACAATGATGTCTAAGAGGCTTCTCTCACAGACTTAAGACTTAACTTTAAAGAATTATTTTAAAAAATTGTACTGATCCCCTACTTAACGGTAGTGTAAATTTTAATTTTTGGGGTGAACTGTCCATTCAAGTAAACCAGTGGCACAGTAGAAAGGTTTATTGGAGGTTCTCATCATTGATCAGGTAGAACCAATTTATAATATATTATAATATATAAATATATTATATTTAAAATATATTAGTGTTTTCCCTTTATTTATACAGGACAGTACAAT